TGTGCTGGCACACAGTCTTGTTTAGCACACTTGGCTTAAGTGGTTTGAGTGCAAATTGTCAGGACTCTCACTCTCAAGCCTGCACTTGAAGAGTAGTTACAAATCAGGTACCCACTTTTGGTAATAGCATCCTAGCATTTTTGGGGCAAGAGAGCATTTGTCCTGGTTTCCTCTCTGAATATGCCCCTCGTATATTGTGAAGCAGATAACAATTCAGATTAGGTTCCTGTAGCACAAACAGAATGAACTATAAATCTATATGATTATAAACAACATTAAACAGACTGTTGTTTACAAGACAGAGCTTGTGAAGTCTACAACTTTCCTCTTACCTTTTTATTCAAAACTGGTTTAATATAGTAGATTCCCTCAATGATAACAATACTTAAAAAAAACACACTTTAATTAACATATTAAAATATGCATAAACACCAGAGAAATATATGTGTGTTAAGTGTTTACATAAACCAAAATAGTTTCTAAAGTCTTATAATAGGTGGTATACAAAAAACAGTCCTTAAAGTCTTATAATAGGTGAAAGAAAGAAAGAACCATCCTTTTTGTAATGTAAATAAGGGAAAGAGACAGATTCTACAAGACAAAAGTAACTTTAGAAAGGAAGCTAATCTTGAAGAAATTAATACATTATTAAAGACCTTGACCCCTTAACCACAGCTGCTTACTAAATTCCCATCATTCCTCTAAATCTTAGCATAAAATTGAGAGAGAGCCCTCAGAAAAACTACAGATTATGCATATACATATTACCACATTAATGATACCTAACTATGCTTATGTCTACTCAGCCTCTCCTACCATATTATTAATCCAAAATATTAATGCACAAAGTGCAGCTTAGTTATAGGAGCCCACTAATGCAGCCCAAATTTATTCAAAGAGCATTCAAAGAACAGACGTTTTGGGAACCCTGTCCTTATATCAATGATAAATACCATATTATTATTATAGTCCATATTGGTACAAATTACAAAGTCAGATGAAAATTGAGCGTCCTAAAGAATGAGTTCAAGGAATTGGGAAGTAACAAAGAAAAGGTAGTAGTTTCAGAAATATATTTTCTGTGTGATACAGTAGAAAGGCAGCAGGAGATTAAGGAGGTTAATGAGTGGCTAAAGTCATGATGTATGAAGGAGGATTTTGTTTTTTTTAGAGCACTGGGCTTATTTTGTGCTTGGGCACAATCTTTACAGCCATGATGGATTGCACCTAAATGGAAGAGGGTCTGCCATGTTGGGGGACAGGATGTTTAGAAGGTTGGAGGAGTTTTGGAACCAGGTTGGGGGGAGGGGGGATTACACATACATTAACAAAATAGGGAGAGGTCAAAAAGAAGAAGGGCTTTATCTCAGCACAATTATGGTGGAGATGGGGTAGAGGCAAGATCAGAATAGAGAGGTATGTAATTGTAATAATGTATGCTTACTAATGCAAGAAGCTTAAATAACTAAATCGGGGAACTAGAGGGAATAGCATACACTAAGCAATGTGATATAATAGGCATAACGGAAATATGGTGGCTGGACCTGTGACTGGACAGTTAACTTAAATTAATACATATTATTTAGGAAGGATAAAAAAAAAAAATCAGGAAAGGTAGTGGGTATGTTTAAATGTAAACCATGAGTTAAAGCCAAATATTAAGAAAATGGAATGTGTCAAGGAAAATGTGAAAGCTTTATGGGTATATATCTGCTTGGGGCAAAAGTAGGGAAATCAATTATTGGTTAATATATGTTAAAAACCACCTATTGTTAATATTGATTAGGAAGAACAGCTGTTAGGGCAAATTGGAAAAGCTGCACATCTGGGTGACATATTAATTACTGGAGTTTTTTATTACCCGGACATAATTGGGATAGAGGAACTAGTAGATTAGCAAGGGGAATCAGGTTTTTGAACCAGTAAATGATATCTCCATACCACAACTAGTACACGCACCAGCTAGAAAGGATTTTTGTCTGGATCTGGATATAACAAACAATGTTGATCGTTTGACCAACATTCTCGTAGGGGAGCACTTGGGAGATAGTACACACAATATGTTATATATGATGTCTTTTGAAATAAATCCAGAAAAGCAAATGCACATGGGGTATACTAAAACCTATAATTTAAAAAAGGCCATTTTCAATAAGATATGGGCAGCTTTACAACATATTGACTGGCATAAACTCTTTAGAGAAAAAAACCATTGAGGATAAATGGAATATTTTCAAACAAATATTAGAAAGGTATGTACCATTGTATGATAAATAAAAAAGAAACAAATTTAAACCAATGTAGCTTAGTGTAAAAGTAAACCAAGATATAAAAAACAAGAACAGGACATTTAAAGCATTTAAATCAGATGTCTGATTTTGTTTGCCACCTTGCTCAATGCTGCCTGTGCAGTACAGTTTCAGCAATACCCATCAGGTGTCCCCAGGTTCATGTGCCACCTAATGAGCTCCCAAACATGCATGCTCTGGTGCAGCCACACTGCAGCACCGACGGTAGTTCCCTTGCTGGGGTTATTGCATGTGCATTTTATAAATCCATATTAGCAGAATAAATACCAGTCTTGGAATTTTGATGTCACTAATAATTATAACTTACTAAACACAATACAAAGTATGGAAGTATCCCCACCTCTAGATCAATCCTTGTTTTTTATATGCTCATTGTCAACTGCACTGACTCTTTTTTTTTTTTTTTGTGAATCAATGTTTTCTGAAACGCTGTTGTAGCAAAAATATATAAGGATAGCAGCAGCAGTGAGGCAAACAAAAAGCTTCAAATCTTGTATAAACATAGAATGCAAATTTGTAACTTATAAAGTAAACCATTATCAGTAGCATTGGAGGTAGCAGTGTCACAAGAAACACTGACATTTCATCTCTATTTATCAAAGAAAAAAATCTCAGGCACTCACTGTGATACATTTAAAGCAGCTTTAATGGATCCGCAACTTTTCGAACTGTACCCAGGTCTTTATCAAGGCTTGGTAAAGACGTGGGTACAGGTCGAAACGTTGCAGAACCATTAAAGCTGCTTTAAATGTATCACATTGAGTGCCTGAGATTTTTTTCTTTGATATATGTTCTATGGGGTATGCTGACCCATACTCAGTTAGCACCCTGTGATTTTTATGATTGAGTGCAACCCTTTTTTCTTTTTTTGGTATCCCTATTTATCAAGGCAGAATAAATAATTAACTTGATGTGTGTAATGTACTCTGGTTTACGTGGTTTTAGCAGTGCTGTCACATCAGGTTCTTGAAACCAATTGATGTTAAGGTAAGTTAAAATAATGAGCTTAGAACCATGTCAGTCACTATCAAGCATTTGCTGGTAAAATCAATAGATAGGAATGTACCATCTGTTAACATTGATCATTTCCCATCATTGGCAACAACAAACCTTTGACAGATTAATGAGCTAAGGAATAGGTCATTTTTTCATAGAGATAGCTTTTTGCTTTTTTATTATTTTTTTCCATTTAATTGGTATCCTGAACAAAAGTGTTCTTTTGATTCTTAAGAATAAAAATTGAAGAAATGTGAAGAACAACCAAAAAGTGGGTCTTTTATCAAAACCCATGCAGTAGTTCCAATGAAAAATGATTCCATTTCTTTCTACATAAAAAGAAGTTTCAGTGTGTGCCACGGTATTGTGTCAATTTTATATCCTGATCCATTCTATGTTAAGATTGTGACAACTTTTATGAATGGATTTAAGGACTTTCCTGAAAATGTCATTGAACATTTTTTGGCTTGCGTGATAAAAGAGTACACATATATACACCATAACACTGCAGGTTCCTGTACGTAGGTAAAAAAATATATAGATTTTATAAAACATATAATACGCTTTCCTAATTATAAATATTTATTTGAAGTACAAACTACTAATACATAAGTACATAACATCTAAACTGCATACAAATAATAATAATAATAATAATAATAATAATAATAACATATAATAATAATGAGATCAAAATAAAACAAATCATTAACTGCATTTTAGTACCTTCAACATCAAATGCTTGAAAATTATTTATTTGTTCAAAATATGTTTTTCATTATAGATAGACAATATATCAAGTTAGATAGTGTATATTAAAATAAAATTACATTGCAAATGTTGAATATATTATGCATTGCATTCTGGGAACATCTTTCCAAACACTTACTCAAGTCAACTATGTGGACCTCATTTTAATAATTATTTATTTTCACTAATATGTTGCATGTCAGTACAGGAATATAATATCTACTGTTATATTAACAGTGAGAAAAAGTAAGGAACAGGATAAGTACATCTGAACGAAATTGATTTAATAGAAAACTATAGTGATGTGAAAATTATTGACTACTTTAGGGTAATATAGTTAACCTTTTTTTAAAAAAAAATCCTTTTTTTTTCTTTTTTAATTCTTTATTTTATTGTGCACAGAAATTAACAGGTAGCCCTGATGCGCCACAACCGCGTCTGCAGGGTAGATTGAGAAACATTTGCATTATATACTGTGGCATTTGCTGGACAGGGACATTTTTTATAAATATATGAGTAAAATCAACATTCTAACTGTGTTCAAAAATTGTAATTGCAGGTTAAACTATATGTTTGTAGGTATTGTCTGGTGTCACATTTGAGTTCAGAACCGACTATGGTTTGTTACATGCTGGGCTCACAAGGGGCATCTGGTGGCACAGCGTTGCTAACAAGTGCATTTCTAATAAGTGTGTGATATCATAGCGTTTTGCTAGGGCAGAAAATCTGTGTGTAAGTTTGCCTAACTTAGTATGCCAATGAAGCCCAGGCCATGGAGGAAAGGCTGGCCAATTGTGATGTGCAGTAGAGTCCTCTTTGGCAGCATGGACGTGATGGTGTGGTAGCAGTCCTAGCCACTATGCGGCAATGAGAGTTAGCCGACTCCTGTGGTTGGCACCGGCAGAGCACATGTTTGAAAGTCCCATGGGGCCTCGGCATTGCAGGTCAAGTAGGCTGGAGGGATTCTACTGCTGCTTCCCGGTCTTCCGTCAGTACCGAGGGTGGCTGGAATGTTTCCTTGGTGGTGTGGCAGTTTCTCTGCTCCCCATGTTGGTTTGCGGGCTTGAATCCCTGTATGTTCCTGTGGTATGGCGGCATAGCCCTTCCGGGCGCTGTTTGCGGCTTTGTGTTGCTGCAGCTGGGTGACATGCTGGCAGGCCCTCCCGGCTTCGCTTGATGCACCGTTTTAGTAGGTATGGTGGTGGGCCGCATTTGGAAGCTATCCGAGTCTGTCGCGCCCCGGGCTGGCGGTGTCGGATGTGCGGTCCGTGACTTGTGAGTCCGGGCAGGGCCTTCATTGCTACCTGCTGCTTTGTGCCAGTCGGTAGCTAAGCTGTACATGTCAGAGCCGGTTTCTGTGCAGGTAAGGTAGTGGGTTGTCGAGAGACTGCTGTAGTTGCTTGGTTCTGCCCCAGTATAGCCCACCACCGCGCCCAGAAAACGTTGAAGGCTGCCGCTATGTGGTCCATGTGGGGGAGTTTGCTTGCTTCCTGTGCCAGTAGAGGTGGGACGGGTGGAGGCTATGACCCACTATAGGGTCATGAATACATGTTTTGTGTTTATGGCCTTATAGTGTTCCTTTAATTAATTATTTTCTTTTTCTTTTCAATTCATGACAGTTTCTGAAGATGAATTTAATGAAAATTAAATATATATATAAAAAATACTTTTATTTTTGTAAAACAAATGTTTGGAATTGTGGCAAAAAAACGTTGCAGTGAGAAAAATCAGCAAACATCAGACTGTGACCTTTTTCTGAACAAGTATATATTGTTAGTGCCTTTAGATACCAGATATCATTACTGCAATCATCCAAAAGAAAATATGTTGCTGGGGGGTGGACTTGAGGGGGCGCAGCCACAGATAGGAGCTCTTTAGCCTCAGAGTTCTACACTTAGTGGAAGAGAAAAGAGATATTAGTGTTTTATGTTTAATCAGGCAAATATTTCTCAAAGCCGTCACCTATTATAAAAAGAAGGCTCAGCTTTGCCAGACTACTTAGGGGGATATGTCCACATTGTGAATATCGGGAATGGGTGCTGGGGAACAGAACTTTGTTGCACACACCTCAATTGGGCTACATGGAGGGTTCACATTGAATACCTGACAGTGCAGCATGTGCTTGTTTCTGGCTATGCTTTATTGAGATCCTTGAGAGTATCAGCAGCACTCTGTTCATTGTTAGAGAGGAAGGGATATACAATAGAAATGTGGGGTTATGTCATGACATACCACACCTTTCTGTCAGTGTAGGTGGTCATTGAGTTTTCCCTTGGACTCAAGCCCCAGGTGTTTCTGGAACCTAACATGCCCCAGCTCCAAACAATAACAGTTACACTATTGAAGAGCTATATCACAATCCTTTAGGGTAGGTCATTCAAAGACTTGGTACCCATAAATTGACAGATACTTTTAGATATCTTAATCTAGAAAGGGTCAGCCTCAAATGTAACTGGCTTGAAAAGCAGTAGTAGTCTGGATTATGATAGAGATCAATTACATTAATCTAGCATGATATACATCATGTTTTGTAGTATTTAAAAATTCAAACTATTGTTTTAAAAAGACTTTAAAAAATATATATATATTTAGAATAAATTCTTTTTTTTCTAGATTTTCACACCTTATTTTTCAGATAACAGACTCCACAGGACTCACCCAGTTTATGCACTATACAAATCCACAGAGAGATAAATAAATAGAAAATGAGTGTTAAGTAAGTACATCTTTGTATTCCAGTAGAGAGAAAAATTTAATCCAACTATTCACCTAAACGCTGGGCTTTACAATTGACTTCTAAATGAAAGTCAGCTGAAAAAAAAATAGTTTGAGCTTAACTAAAAAAAGTATCTTAAAGCCAGGAATATACATAATATTCACTAAAAAATTAGAACGGAAAAAGCATGCAAACATAAGCTGACTTGAAAAACTCTAATTAAGCTTAAATCAACAGATCATTATAATGGTCATCATGGTTAATTCCATGAAAAAATATCTAGGAGTTTATTATATTATTGTAAATGGAATTGACAAATTCAAATATTCATTATTTTAACTACTTTAACATGTGGATTGTGACATTTTATGTCAAACTTCATTCCTGCCTAAAATACAAGTAGTTGAATATCCATTGAATATCCACATTTATTCAATATCCAGGTTGAGTTCATATGCTTAACCAGTGCACCATAAAACAAACTGCCAAACCATATTATTCATTCAATGTGTTTTTTTTATTCTTTGTGTTGCAATTTTTAGTTTTTTATTATCTTACAATTTATTGAAGAATACGATATAATCCAATGAATGAAACAGAATAAGAAATTCAAGATAGATTGAAAAGCACAAATCTTTAAATGTAGGAGCAATAAAGATAATCTCAGAGAATAAGACATCAAGATTAGGGACAGGAGAAGCCAACATATTCCTTAAAAGAAAATTAAATAAATATTTTAATGGTAAGAATGTTAGAAGGAATAGACAACAATTAAATAAAGGAAAATAGATAGTCACAGGCTATAAAGAGAGATAAGTAGTAATGATACACAGGAGACATATGTGGGGTTATTAGCTAAAGTGAGCATTTAAGACCAAAATAGCCAAACTGAAAAGATTGTCAAAATCAGTTATGCTTCAAAGTTCAACTACTTTGGCCTTATATTTAAAATTCACTTATAAATACCTTTGAATTCCAACAATGTTCCCTTTAGTTATTAACCCTGACAGTATAGTAACCCTGATGGTATAATAATTCTTGAGAGTGTGTTTTAGATTGTAAATGGTGAAGGTGGTACACAACTTTATTTGAATAGTTGTATAATATATACAAAACTGCTATTTTCAATTAAAACATATATATACATATATATGTGTTATTTATTTATATAACTTGGTGTCATTGAGGATTCCCACTTTAATTACAATAACAGATAAAAAGTACTAACCTATAAGTACCTATAAGTATTATAACATATAAAGAAATATACATAGCAATGGAGTGAACACCCTTTTGTTGCACTATAGCTATCATTATAATAAGCATTGTTGACACAACTTACATGAAGCTGGAGTGATACGATAAATACTTTAGAAAAATGGAGCCCTATTTGTTTTCAAAATGAACAACTAAACTATAAAGGTCAATAGACTTCATAGACAACAGAGAAAGACTACTTTCCTAATTCGGTTATCAACCATATTGTCACAGTAACAGTAGCAGAAACAATCAAAGTGAGTTTTGCCCAATAGTAAATATAAAAACAGCTAGGCAACACTCGTGTGTGAATATCTATTGCACAGGGTATCGATGAAATAAAAGCAATTTACAACAACGTCAAAAATTAGCTTATCAGTAAAGCTATATATGCAGAGACATTTAAAGTAAAATGTCAGTCCATTGGCAAGAAGCCCGATAAAGAGTTAAAAATCTATTTGGTTTACAACAATACTGGTAGTAAAGCTAAAACAAAATGGAAGGTTTTAGAACAGCAACTACAGTGAAGTATGGAAGATAAATTTATTGCATAAAATTTAACTTTTAGCATACATGTATTTCTGTCAGCATAAGTGCAGAGTTGCAGGTTGGTAGAAAATGTAACCGACTTGCTTAATTATGAGGTAAACAGTTAAGTAAAATATTGTCAATGTTAAGAGCTATAAGCTATCAATTTGATAAAACAAGAAAAAAGTGGGGTAAAGACTAAATTGGTTATCCTAAGACCCACTATTAACTAGAGACATTTCTATGAGTTCATAACTATGAGTGGGCATTATAGATTTTTTTGTTTTCTATGGAGAATTTGGCTGCGGTCAGAAGTCTTTTTTTCTTGCCATTTCAGGCAATGAAAAGATATTATTTATGCATAAATGTGCTTCAAAGCTAGACATACAGTAATTATAAATGGACTATAGTAATCAACTTGTAATTGTGTTAAATTGTGTTAATTGTGTTAAAGTAACATAAGTACTGAAACTAGTTCCAAATGTTGAGGGTTGATTTTACCAAGTTAAAGCCAATAGAAATCTTCAAAGGCAGGCAGGCAGTAACTGATAATGGGGTTTCCATGATCGAAATGTCATTAAACATTTTATAATTTTACAATCAGTTATATTTGTGGTGAAAACACAATTTCACTTAATTTATTAATGACATTCTTGGAGTACTGATGAATGTTGGAACATTGATTTTACTTGAAATTAATCAACAATTGTCCATATCTTCTTGCTGTGTTACAGTTGTCATTCATTCAGTTTAAATTCCTCTTTTATGTTCTCTCAGGGTTGTTTACTAAAATTAGAATTGTCTGGAATGTCTTTGAATTCAAAGTGCATTTCAAATTTAACGTCAAGTAGTTGAGCTGAAAGAATGTTTTTCCACATATGTATTATTTTCAATACGTTCATGTATATATATATATATATATATGTAAGTACATATTATTCATTAAGGTTTTGATATAAATATATATGTATATATATATATATATATATATATATATATATATTTACAATATTTGGACAGGTTCTGGAGGTTAATAAGTAATATGATAAACCATACAGTGGATATTTGTATTTAAATATTAATAGTTTGTTCTTAGTAAAGATTCTAAATATGTTAAATAAGTGTTCATTCAAAGAAGATGGTGGGACCAGGCTTGTCAGGCATCCATGGCTCAGTTCTGTTTGCTTTTACTGTGTTCGGAAATGTGTGGGTCAATCATGTGAACTTCACATGGTGTGAAGAGGAATGCAGATTTTGGCCCATTAGGTGATCCACACATCATGTAATGATGGCAGGGAACAAAGCTGGAAACCCTTAGGATTTGAAACAGAGACATGGAATGCACAAACACGTCCACAAACACTCCCCCAAACAGGATTGGCTGTAAATCAGGATACTGGATAAGGTTAGTGAAGAATCTTGGCATTGCTCTTTTCCAATATAACAGAGTTTTATTTTATGTTTGTATAATTTTATACTGATTGCAATTCAATTTATTGGAAAACCCTGAGGAAGTCTAAAGGGTGAAATGCGTAGGGAATGAATGGTCATATAATTTATATCAGATTGGGTGAAGTTACTTATATATGGTTAATTATTTTATACAAGGAAAGTGCCATAAAATATATTTATTATGATATAGTGAACATTCTGCATTTATGTTTAGTGTAATGTCATGATTAATGCTGTCTTAAAATCTGGTTTAGAAGATCTGAGACATATTTATATGACTGGTCTACCTAGTGAATTGTGAGTACAATATCATCACACATTTTGGGCTATATTTTCTAAACAGCGCTATACTATGTACTTTTATACCTGTTTCTCTATATATTTTTTG